CAACGCCAATAACCAAAAAAAAGAAGAAGAAGACTTCAAAGAAGGCGAACGTTCTCTATTCGACTGATTTTTTTATTGTATATGTTGTATCCCGACTGACTTGTTGGTTTCCTTGTCCAATGAAACTCCGTATAACTTCGTAATCTTCCGGTTTATTGAAACTTATGAAAGTGTACTGTATACATTTCCACAAAAACTTATTTGAACTTATATCTATGTCCATCTGACTTACAAGTTAAAAAATCGAACAACAATTCGCGTCTGAATATCGAATAAAAGTGAAAGTAAATCAAGTGAATCTTGCAAGATTCCGTTGCATACATATATACGTCGTCTCCCACATCGTACTGGCCCTATCAACGCGACGCGAACGCCGCCCGGCCAATCAGAGCCCCTGAATTATTTACGTAATTCTACTCATAGTGCTGTGACCGGCCAGTCGCGTACGGCCCGTCCGTTTATCTTACGCGATTACTCAGATCGATTTTTTTTTTGTTGGAAAGGGGTACCTCATTAGCGGTTTCATTCGAATTTGAAAAAAATATTCTACCTCTTACGAGAGGCAAATTAAGGGACGAATTCGTTTTATTGAATTTCACCCATTTTCCGTTAACAGAATTTAATATTTGGCACATAAGTGTAATTCGAATGAAAATAATAGTTATGATGAGCTGATGATACAAATGGAAACACATGAAAGGAACCGTATGTTTGGGTTCATAGGATTGGTTTTGGCGAGACTTTCATCTCCATTTCAATTGTTTTAGAAGGTCGCTTTGCAGTGAAACCTGCCGCATTCCATCGCGTACTAAAAGGTTCTGTGGCCCCTTTCTCTGCCGCACGGTTGACAAATGGAACTCCCTTCCGGCACATGTCTTCCCTCCCTCTTATGATATGGGGGCCTTCAAACGAGGCGTGAAGAGGCATATTGTAGGCAGGCAGGGTGGAGGTGGCTAGTGCAGTAAGGGTTCCACCGCTGCACTAGGTTCCTTCGCGTTTGGATACCACTTTCCACTTAACATCAGGTGGAGTGGAGTCATTTGCCTGTCATGTATAAAAAAAAAACAAAAAAAAAAGTGTGGTCAAAATACGTCAAAACGGTTGTGGCCGGTTATTGGTCTCTTTTCGCCTTAGGGCTTATTCCCATCTGATCCCCTAAAACCGAATCCCCCGGGGATCCGTTTTATTTTAAATTGTTTTCTATTCCAATCGGATTCCCAATGCAGGGGATCAAGAATAAATAATAATATTTTATTCCCACCTGATGCCCTGGTACTTACAAGTTTATTTTTGGTAGGTACTGTGGTACAGTCAACAAGAAATGTATTTGAGGGTTGTTTTGTATTTTATTTAGTTTATTAGAAATGAACAACAGTAACTGTACTTATAACCGTAGAATGATAGTTTCATATCAAACGAACTGTCACAAGTGAGGCAAAAATCAAATTCATGTAGGCTAGTTTTAGTAGTAGGTTAATTTTCGGTTTTAGTGAATATTTATATAACAATACAAGTTGAAACGCGTTACTTCCTTGTGGAATGTGATGTTAGTATCTCTTTATGTTTGTCTGACGTATTTTTACACTCATTTACCGCACATTTCGTCATTTTTAGCTAAAATTCTTGAGCTGTTCGCGGTGCAAGTCCGCCCGCACGTGTAGGCCCTTTGGGAGCGCTTCAATTTGCCTCACTTAGCGTGTGCGGGCTAGGTTTCTATGCGTTATTATTCTAAGCGTATTAACTTTGATTATAAATGCAATAAGGAGATCCGCGAGGAGTTGCAAAATAGAGAGGGGATCAGTCAACGTGTATGTTATTATTTACCACTAGTTTCTAGGCCGTAATTAAACAGTATTACACAAAACCCTACTCGACCGAGTAGTCGATGTGAAAGATGCCTAGAGTCGTGTATCGACGCTGTGTGAATAGGCCCAAACGAGCGCGGACGTGACAGCGTTGCAGAAAAGCCGCGCCAGGGCTGCGACAAATCGCGTTATAAAACAAGATGCTCAATTAGGTTTAAGTTGAATTAGACGGCAGATGGTTTAGAGATGAGACTGCTTGAATTCTCAACGACAAGGGAAAGGGTACTGTCTCACGCTAGTTGTTTTTCGTTTCTCTTGTGAAAAATGGCAGTAAATTTCCTTGCTACTCCGCGAACTAAGAAGAAATCGTGAATTTCTTTTTCATGCAGTTAATTTGGTTTATTCGCAGTAGCTCCAATTCCCAATACTTCCATAATGTAGAGAGCTACTAAAGCTGCTTTTACCCATCCATGCTATTAATTCTGGTAGCAGTAGAGTTCCTTGTGAAAGAGTTGGTCCAGGCAAGTACTGCCAACTTATCTTCTGCTGCCGCCAAGCAGTAACATGATCATTACCGCGTGCCAGTTTTGAGGTGAGGGTGAGGGTGTTGGTGAAATTACAAGCACATGGGACTTGTCAATTTATGTCTCTAGGTGACGAGCGCAGTGGCTGTGCCTATCAGATCTTTGCGATTGCTCTGACTGGCATAGTAACTGTTATGGACAGGCGTGTCGCTTACTATCAGGCGCGCACGACTTGTTCGATCCATCACTTGATATCTTAAAAAAGCGGGAGGAGGCTCCCTCAAAAAACAAATAAATAACACAAACTTCAGTTAAATCACAAACACCGCCGCACAAAGAGAGATTCTTCGGCCGAGTATTGAGCAATCAACAACTCCTGAGGATGTTTCGTAGTGAGGCGGAATACGTGAGGTTATTGTTAGTGGTGGTGTTTGTGATTGTATTTGCGTTTGTGTTAGTTATTTTATGCGAAAGGAGGTTGGAAAAATTAGCTACATGTAAAAAGAAATCAACATAAGCGCAGCTATTTTACACGGTTTAACCGTTAGATCTTGTCCAAAAGTTCTGTTTTGAGTACGCTAAAAGAATTTTAAGAAACACACTATTTGTCATACTATTGTAAAGAATTGGATGTACTAAGTACATAGGACGCGCACCCGCTTCGGCGCAGACGTACGGGGAGAAGGCGAAGGCAGTTCGCTGCTCGCCTGATCCCCTAGTGAGGCCAGCGGGCTCTGGACAGGGACTCCGGAGCCTGCATTGCACGGCCTAGCTCGTCTGGGCGGATCGGAGGACAACTGACCTGCCCCTGTGTTGGCGCGGGAGCCCTGGCGCAAGCTAGGGCGGCCGGGCGGCGTCGTGGTGAATGTGCACCGAATCAACCGGCGGGAGGTAAACCTGGGGTGGTTTTAGTGAGGTAGGCCCTCCAGTCTGGAGGGAGTGTCCCCACATAACCCTGAGTCTGCCTGGGCTCAGGGGTAATAAAGATTCCCCTCCGTAAAAAAAAAGGGATGATAAGCTAGCCACAAGTCGACCGCTTCGTCCAACTCTGTTTCATACTGACTGAATCCGTATTTCTTGCGCTTCAAACTCTGGACCAGGCCTTACTGAGTTGGCGGAAGTAGCAACATAATGAACTTCCATTTTTATTGATATGGATTTCTTTAAATCTTGTGATATAAAGCTTAGAATGGCACTGCAACTATTATAGACAGGCGTGTCGCTTACCACAAGGCGTACGACTTGTTCGTTCCGTCACTTGGTGTCATAAAAAAACCGGAGATCAAGGCTACATGTCTGCTAATCTTCTTGAAACCCTGATCATTGTAATCCCATTCAGGCTCCATTGAGATTAGGATGCGTATAGATCTGGCGAATGCGCTGTGAAAGCGCTGCATATGCGCTACGCTGGTCGCATACTGAGCGCGCGCTACACGCATGCTGCATGCGTGCAATTAAATACATGGTAATACATGGGGCGTGCGAACTGCATGCGAACAGATCGCACAACATAATGCACGTGAGCAGTCCTCTATGATCCAATTGTACAGAAAATTAAAGAGCAAACGAAAAAATTTCTTCGACAATTGTACGGATTGTAAATGTGGACGATCTGAGATTGTTCAATTTGAGAAGTTGTACCAACTGTTCACAATTCAACCCTATCGTATAATCTAATTCTGAGTTACTTTCGGTTGTGTAGCCGGATTGCGAAATATCTTTACAACAGTGAAATTAAGATCTTGTTTTATTTTTCATAATTTGTTCTATTATATCTAATATTTTTCATTTTTTTCCTTATTGGCGTTGCCCTTTTAGGATTTTGCCAGAGCCAAGTTTGTAAAATATGGCGAACGTCGTTAAAAAATTTTATGCAATTACTTTACATTTGATTTTTCTTACGTGCATCTGATTGTTATCCATAGATTTTGGCGTTTTGTTTACACTACGAAAAACCTCAAAAAACCTTCCAGATTTCTCATTGATTGCGCATGTTTTTGCTATAAAATATGGCATTAACTCTTTTAGACAAGAGGCAACTCATATCAATCTGAGGTCAATGACAAAAGGAAGTTCACATCACACCGCAAAGCCCTTTTAGCACAACAATACCAACATTATAAAAACCCAATAACACAATCATGTGTATGTAAATTGTATGGGAAACCCCACAAGGGAAAACCTAACATTCCGGAGTTCATTGCAGCCATAACAAAAGGGCTGAAAGTGTTATCTTTAGGGGATCTGCCACAATGGCGACTTTAAATGATGTTTTTATTTTTTATCTTTGTTGTAAAATGAATGTTTATTAAAACCGGGTGACAGGAACGAAGGTATAATTGTGAAATATGTGCCTTAGTGGTAAAAGAAAATGGGGGAAATGTCACAAAGTCGTCTTGAGGCTCAACTGTGTAAGCACTTAAGATAGCAATTAAATTTCCGGTTGTACCTTTTAAGAAAAGCTCTTTTGAGAATTGGCATACGTGGTCTTCGAATATAATTATATCTAGGGGGTATGGAGAATGAATATTATCAATCTGTTTTATATCTTAACGATTTTACACATAGGGTGTGAATTACAGATGGTCTTGTTTCTTTTCGCAAGAGAAACGAGACCATCATTACCAATGACGCGGTTTGATTTATCTCTATTGACTAAATAAAGTCCTACCTTCGAGGTGTCCGGAGTAGACCTGGGCGGTGTTGTAGTCCAGCTGGCCCGACGACGAGTGGAACTGCACGCCGTCTGCGAACACGGAGCTTGGATCTGGCCGCAGCACTAGCTTAAACTCCCTGAAACAATAAAAAAGAAACGTAAGAAAATAATTATTATTGAAATGAAACTAGTTTAAACTAGATAATATCCTGGTATTATCTAGTTTAAACCAGTTTCATCATTATCATCAATACCAGATCAGTCTCTGTTTTTATTATAAAATAAGTGTAATAAATTCCATTTTATGGACAACTCATGCGTGATCAAAAAATTGACTATGCCAAAATTGGTTCCATAAAAAAAGACTTAATGGTTTCTAAGACAGCTTCCTTGTATTTTCTATGGTTTCGGATTCCCACACATTGTCCCATAAAAAACTCTGTAGGTATATTTAAAACACGATGCCTTGTGAGAGCCCTGCAAGACATTCGGAGGCTATTCCTGCTCAATGCTACAGCATCTCCACAGTGTTCAAGACAATTGGCTCGCAGCCAACTGTAGGAAGTGGCTACTTTTGGCATTTATCAAAATATTCAAACTTGCACAGTTCCACTACGACCCTGTTGCAAACAACGGAATCCCAGGCTTTAAACGTAAAACTTTGCCCGTTCATACACCACCACCACGAAGCGAGTTAATTGTAATTTAAGGTCAAGTAGCGGTATGGAGTAAAATTTCGCGGGAATAATGGGTGATAAATCGTAGGTGTAACTCTGATATAGTAGGACCACGTGACCGCTTTATGCTTTTAGTTACCAACTTTTAGCTATACGGCGATCGTTATTTTACATCAGAGCGAGTTTTGAGGTTGCTAATTTTGTTTTCCTATGCGTTATGAATAATTTTATAAATAAAATCATATTTATAATTTGAGAACACTAAGGGTCGTATTCCAGAACTCTACTCAATACTCAAGTCAGGACTTGAGTATTGCAGTGAGCACTGAAAATCATACTCAAGTTCTTGCCATTAGGGTCGTATTTCCAGTGCTTGAAATCATACTCAAGTCTGCTCAAATCCTGAGTTTGTTTATTGAGTAGAGTTCTGGAATACGACCCTAAACATGTAAGTAGGCTGTATGCACTTAAGAATAACCTATGATTGTTGGTAAATCAACGAAAAATTCAATCGATTTATCCACTTCCGTTAAACTTAAGTATGTCGTAGGGCGCGTTTTCATGATGTTGTGACGACAGATAGTCCTGCAGTTTAAAGTGTCGTGGTCTGTGTATTTAAATGAAGTTGTTCACACATAGAACAAACAACACGATTAACTGTCATTCACGACTGTTTGACGTTACGATGACAGACTGTCGTGACAATGGGAAGAGCTGGAACCATTGACTTACAATTATATGGACGTCGGGTCCGCGCTAAAAAGTGTCCGCACTTGTAAGGCGCTAAAATCGTATACAGAGCGCGACACTCCGCTTTAGTCTTCATTTGTTCTACGGACAGCGCGATACTGCGATGACATAACAATTTAAATTTCGAATAGGTTGACTTGGGACATTTTTTTTCGTGGTTTTTGTATTAGACCCGTCGTCCATTTATTTGTAAGTCAATGGCTGGAACGATACTCGTTGGACGACAAATAAAACGTCACGATAAAAATGTGACGACAGATAATCACAGCTTCAAACGATTCTGTCGTGCAAACGACAAGGCGGCTGCCGTGAAACGATAAATTGTCGTCTCGATCTAGTGGGAACAGTTAGACACGATTGTCGTTCAACGATAAAATAAACGTCTACGACACAGTCACAACAAAAAGTCGTGATATGGGAACAGGCTAGACGCGATAGTCGTTCAACGATAAATATAAAACGTTACGACATAATGGGAACGCGCCCTTAAAACAATGTTTGCAATGTAAAAGGGCACTTTTAATACATTATGTTAAGAGTGTCTATTCAATTTAACCATTGGTTAAAAGACATAGTTTAGTGCTAGAGGACATTAGTGTTTTTATATTGATATCGATTCTGCTAGAATAAATTTCTGAACGATCAATTATGAATTGGGCGTAACAAAAAGGTAAAAGAGAAAGAATTTACTTTGGCACGCGGATTTAAGAATGATAACGAATTCCAAAGGCAATTACGTTGAAAATATTTGAAAATAAAATGATAAAACAAATTGTTTCTCGTGTTATTTAGATCAGATTTTATACTTTGCCATCTACGACAAACGACTGTTCGTAATTTATAATTTTAAATGAAACTATTTCTTCGGCACAAATCTCGTAAGTATATTTGTTTTTTCAAGAAACCAACGTTACGGGCTCATTCTCGGACTCAGTCCAAAATAGATTTACTTCCAATGTATAGCAATTTTAGTAGCTATAGAACTCATAGTGAAACTGTTCGTCCCGGGAAGTACCTTTCTGCCGCCAAGCAGTAACGTGAGCATTACTGCGTTTCAGTCTTAAAAGGTAGGCGCGTAGTTACACGAGACGAAAGATTTTTTTAACTCAAATGTAAGTGTGCATTTGACCTCCATCTCACTTGATGACAAAGTGACGATTAGGTCGACGATGGCGCATGCACACCTAAATAATGCCTATTGTTTTGGTCCAAGTTATAACGTTCAGAGAACAAGTCTGCAGGCAGAGAATTACACTCCATAGCTGTTCGCCATATAAATGTGAAAGCGTAACGCTTCGTGCGAATCTTTGGAATATCCACAAGATAGGGGTGGAATCCAGGCGTATGCCTAGTCCTCCGATGGTGGAAAGGAGAAGGCTACTAGGCAACAACATTTCAATTCCTCTGGATAATAAACTTCAAGCTAGTCTCGCCCGCGTGTCCGGGACACTCGTATAAGTTAAAACGTAAAAGCGAAATAAATAGAGCGTATTTTGCCATGACAGACGCACGCGGACTCCGCTCGGCGGCCGCGCGGGGTGAGATTCGTGTCGAATAAACGCGCCCTAAGTGTTTTGGTGAAATTACAGGCATAATGGGCAGTGCCCCTCAGACCTTTATGTTCTTAAGCACAGAGTGGTGCTGCAACTGTTATGGAGAGGCGTGTCACTTATCACCAACTGCGCGATTTGTTCGTCCCGTCACTTGGTTTGATAAAAACAGACAATATTTGGTGACGCACAGTTGTTATGTGTAAGCAAATCATCAGTCGACAAATATTACAAAGAATAAATAACAATAAAGAAAACAAAAATAAAAACTTCGTAAATCCTAATTAGTCATTAAATGTGCTGAAATTTAAGAAAAATAAGTAACTATAAGATCGGAATAAATAGACTGATGTACCTAAATATCACAGAGCAATTGTACTCGTATTAATTAAATATTTTGAGAAAAATAAAACAAATCGTTTAAACATCGAGTTCTTAAGTTTTCGCGATTGTTACACATAGGAAATGAACCTATTTTTCCGGATTTTAATCGCGTATATTTGCTTTTTCAAACAAGCCGACGTTTCGGGCCCCTTACAGGTCCCATGGTCACGGTTGATTAAACTGGTTGTCAATTAAATAGCCAAAAAGTTTACAATACTGACGCCATATAGTCATAAGGGACCATTTCAGTGTAATAATCCCACAAGAGATCAATCAATTTAACTACATTGAAATCTATTTATAGACGCATAAGCATCATAATGGCCAACCGAAAGCCATTAAACGTCAACGTAGGTATCTATATTCCCATTTCCAATCAATTATCCTGTCTGCGGTGTAGTTTCGAGTGACCATCGTCCTCCGTCTACCGTTCGACCACTAACCACCGTCTAGACTGGCTAATGAGTATTGCTCCCTAATCAGTTTGTAGCGATTACATTATTTAGAATATTATTAAGAATTTATAATAAATGTTATTTATTTATTTATTTATTTATTATTATAATTACATAATAAGTTCACAGCATGAGCCAAAACACTTATATGCTAGTCAAAGAAATGTAATAATAATAATTTATATAATACAATTTATATTATTATTCTGCTTTACATAAATATTCATTTAGGAATAATGCGGCATATTTGAAAAATTGCTTCGAACTGTCTCCGAATACGTCGGCACGCGACTGCAGTGCGAGCAATTGGTTAAGCAAAGAGGTCGCCCTAACCGTGGGTGCATGTGCGCCGCTGCAGGTGCGCGACGGAAGAGTCGCGAATAACGGACGTACGCGCCTCTGCAGCGTAGCACCACCACCGCGCAGATATCGGTCTGGGACAAACAGACCCATACGAGACACAACTGTCAAGTTGTCAACCCCACCGTTCAAAACCGCATGGTAATGCATTATGAGCATTAGTTTACGCCTCAGTACAAGGCTGTCAAATCCGGTCATTCCAAATACGAACATAGAAGGGATTATTGCTATTACTTTTAAATAAATAAATAAGTAACGCCGTTACTTGACTATGCGCGCGCGCAGTGATAATGGCGGCGACGTTCTTCGGCTATTTCCGCCGAGCCGAACGCACATACCTGCGCTCTCGGGTTTTTGAAGAGTCAATGTGCCTGGACAGACCTCGGGGTCTGTAGCCTCGGGGCTAAGACGTCCCGCTCGCGCCGTTGAATAACGGTACTTTCTTTTGTTTACGTAAAAAAAGATAGTGTTTCATTTCTATCATATACAACAAAATATATATAATACATTGACGTACAATTATATGGACGTCGGGTCCGCGCTAAAAAGTGTCCGCACTTGTAAGGCGCTAAAATCGTATACAGAGCGCCAAACTCCGCTTTAGTCTTCATTTGTTCTACTGACAGCGCGATACTGCGATGACATTACAATTTAAATTTCGAATAGGTTGACTTGGGACATTTTTTTCGGGGTTTTTGTATTAGACCCGTCGTCCATTTATTTGTAAGTTAATGATATAATAATATATTAAATATTAATAAATACTTCTATCACACTGATATCATCGCAAAATCGCCTGACGCTAGAGTTCATTTTTGATTCTTTTTTTTAATGATATCAAGTGACAGGACGAACAAGTCGTGTGCCTGGTGGAAAGCTGCATGCGTGTCCATAACAGTTGCAGTGCCACACTCGAGCTTTAATTCGCAAAAATCTGAGGGACAGTGACTAGAGAGTAATT